CCCGCCCCCGCCCCCGCCCCGACCACTTCCCACCCATACGTTCGCCCGTGAACCCCCCAGGGGCCTGTCGCCCACCTGAAATCAATGCTGGCACGGGATCGGCTCCCGTTCACGGTGGCGTACGTGGGCTCCATGGGGGCCACCCTGTACGCGTGCCTAATCTTGCAGTCGTACGTGATGGTGGTGACCTGTTCGGTCATCCAGCTCCTCGCTCTGGCGTGGTATTTTTTGAGCTTTGTGCCGGGGGGCAGTAAAGGGATGAGGTGAGCTCGCGCCCCACCAAGCGGCAGCGTCAAGAGGGAAGTGGCGTTGCTAGCGACCGTGCGTGGTCATGACGTCGTGTGATGCCATCGTGTCAAGGTGTAATGCCAATGTTTTGAACCCGCCGCTCTCTGCTTTCTGGGCCTCCAATCCCCTTGCTGCTCTACTGTTCGCGCCGTGGCCAGGTATTTCGTGTCGGCGATTCACAAGACGGCGCGATATACTCTCATGCCTTGCATCGAGGGATGTCGAAAAACTCTGTGCTTTTGTCTCAGCCGCGGCGGGTCATGACCCCGCCCGCACCCTGCCCCCTGTTGGGAAAAAATTAACATCAATAATAGTTCTTCATGTAGCGACGGTCGCACGACGTAAGTCGTGAATCTTCGCACAGAGTTGCTTTCGGGTTGTCGCGAGGCGCGAGGGATTGGTGCAACAGTTGTCAAGTGTCGTCGTCATGGGCACCTAGATTTTGGTCCTATTGTTGCGCCGCGGCAAGTAGGAAGGTGACGCGACATTGCGCCGCACGCAATTATCCGATGTGCCAAGGGTATCTAGTGATGCAGGTGGTGTACGCGATGGAGCTGAGCCGTCCAGCCTTCTTCTCTGTTGCTCAAGCGCTCGTGCTGGTACTGGGGATCACGATTGGTTGTCAAGAAGCTTACTGCACGTACCGAATGTCACCGTTTTGGGCACCTGCTGAATTTCGTCGCATCATGTGGTTATGGTCACTGCTGCTGCTGCTTTTGGGAGGTATCATGATGACTGCAATTCGACTACGACTACAGGCGGGGCTTGAAACAGGAGAAGTACCCTTGGTAGTTGCGTCCCGCCTGCCTTCCTTCCTGCCTTCCTGCATGTTTGTCTCTCATTGTGTTTCTCTCTTATGAATGAATGGGGCGAAATATGTTCAGTTTCTTGGGGTGAACGTTAATATCAAAACCCGCAGCTTATATTTATGTAGAAGACTTCTGGATAGTCGAAATCTCCCTGGAGAAAGACTTGTGTATTGTCCGCTACGTTCTTCAATAGGTGTGGTGCGTCCGCGTGTTTGTCAGAGGCTTGTAAACTTAGGTAGCGGAAGCGGGCAGGAACACGGATTGAACGTTTCAGCTGACACGGCAGCCATTCTTGGGTCTCGTTTCTCTGTGCTACATCGAGATTGATTGATGCGCTCCTCGGGGTGCAAAACATCCATGATATCCATGCATTCTCAGTAGCTCGAGCGAGTGTTTCAGAAGATGTTGCACGTACGCCGGATGGCACTTTTTTTGCGAATTTACAATACAAGTGGTGCTGTCAGCGGCCTCATTTAACTCACACATCTCAGTACGGAAAACATGGGGCGATGGGCGATGCATGCCCTTGTGACTGGCCGACCTACTACGTGAGTGATCGGGTCTGAGAAAATAACGTGGACGGTGTGCCTGGCCGAAACGGGCACGAATACAGCGGAACTTGTGTACAGTATTAGTACGTGTGCTATGAGGCCGCAAGGCGAAGGTGCTGCAACTGCAATGCATGCAGTGTTTTTTGGACTGTACTGGATGGTTGTGCTTGTATGAAAAATACTGTAAAAAGTGTAGACTAAATAGTACTTTAGACCACATACGATGAAAAGGTTTTGTACACGTCTCACTACGAAAAATGGGGGGACTGTCGCCATAATAAATAGGACGGAAACACACACACACACTCCCGAAGACATTGGCGCGAACTTCCTAAACTAGCTCGTTCTTGCGGCGGTGAAAGTAAGAACACCTCGCCGAGGACTCCTTCGCTGTTGCGTTGAGAGCGCCCGCGGGAGGATATTATAGCTGTCACGCGATCGCAGCAAGAACTGCGGTGCTCAACGTAGGTAGGGTTGGGGGGATGGCCTCAACGATCCCTTAAACTTGATAAACCTCGCGGTTTATCTAGGCTACCAAACTTCGACGTTGGCACCGTTGACGAGGGAAAGGGACGGCTGGATGGACCCTTCTCGCGATAAAAAAGCAAGTCAGCACGCACCGCAGGAGGAAAGTGGGGCATGAAAAGAAATAAAAAGAAGAAAAAAGCCCTGATGTTTACCCCCTCTCCTGTGTGACCCTGGATGGTTGTAGTTGTACGAAAAAATACACTGAAAAGTGAAGAACTCTACATACGCTGAAAAGTGTAGTACGCGTCTCACCACGAACAATGGGGGGACTGTCGCCACAATTAATAGGACAACAACACACACTGCGATGGTGGCGAACGAGACAAACGCAAACGTTCTCGCTATTCGCGAAAAATCGAGAGAGAAAAAGATGGTTTCGCCGAAACGAACGTGGTTCCAAATACTGCTGTTAGACTATTTATTTGTGTCGAAAAGTTCTCTCTCTCTCTCTCTCTCTCTCTCTCTCTCTCTCTCTCTCTCTCTCTCTCTGTGTTTTATTTTTTCTCTAGCGGCCTCTTCATTTTCCCTACTCGAAATCTCGTGGAGCTAGCTGCCTGCTTAAAAACCGTTAATGTTGCTTCTTCCACTAACNTTGTGTGTGTGTGTGTATTGGGTTGAAGGTTTTACGAACAGTTGTATGCTGCAAACTGCGATCGAGATAGGCAGTGAGCTATGGAAGATGACAATATATAGAGCGAAGTATCGTCCATAGGCAGTGAGTGAAACACAGGCACGAGAGATAAGGGGACACGCACACTGGAAGTTGATGAAAAAGCAATACCTACGTTCACATTCTGTGTGCCCCCTTGCAGTTAGAATTTGTGCTGTTGCCTGTCGCAGCTCGCTCAGTCACCTTCATGGTATGTGTGGGCAGAGCTCTTGTTTTGGGACACCTCTGCACTTATTTTCACTGTCGTGTGAGTGCTAGGGATACCTTAGCTTTGTTGTGGTCGTCGTGGACCACTTCATGAACCCCCGGAATTGGTCCCAAAGGTAGTAAAAAAACAAGCCGTTCAGCTGGACCGAATCGGCGCCTTTTCATCCGCCGCGCACAAGAGCAACCTGCCGTCGTATTGCTGAGGGGAGCAGCAGGAGAAGGGATGGACCACTCTCCAATCTCATTCGTGTGTGCCGTTGCGGTCACGGTTGGCTTGGTGGACGCTTGTTCAGTGGGAGCGGGCAGCAGGAGCAACCACATCATCGTCTCCGCCCCCACGTGGGTGTCTCCGCGGACGGCGGTGGTGCCACCAGCAGGAAGCCAAGGCGACGGCGCACTGCATCAGCTAGTCTGGACCACCAGCACCACCAGCGCCCGAAGCGATGGGTGCGAGGCTACGCCAAGTTCTCCACAGAGTGGTGGTGGGTTTTGTCGGGAAAACCCGCTCTGGACCAAACATGAGTCCGCCGTGTGGGTTAGGGGCGGGGCAAGCGACGGCGGCGGCGCCAACGGCGGGGGCGCTGATCCAAGCGGCAAGCAGGCGGTCAAGCCAGGGTCGCCATCAAAGGTTGCCGCGGAGAAGAGCGGGCCCGCACGGGGTGGGGGTGGAGGCGGGGGCGTGTGGGGCAGCGTCGCGAGAGCATGGAGGGCGGTCCGTGGGGGGCGGCCGCACAACAACGGCAGCAACAACGGGGCATCCTCGGCTGCAGCAGACCCCAAGGCTAGTAGCTGCGGCGGGTCCCAAAATTTAAAGGTCGGGGGCGGGGCTGCAACTTCTCGCGATGCAGGGGGGGAAACAGGTTCGAGCGGGGCATCGCCATCAGGGTCCGGTTCAGGTGCGACGACGAGGTCAGGCAAGGCTAGCAGCAGTCGGAGAACGAAGAGGAATAGCAGCAAGAAGCGCTCGTTCCCCGGAGAAAGAACCGGCGGGGAGAAGCAGCAGCAGCGCGCACCGTATTCGACATCTAATAGAAGAAACGTCTACGGCGCGGCTGCGACCGCCTCGCCCCACTGGCAACCACAGCCGCAGCGAAAGCCGGGAAGCTTTGTGGTCTATTCTGCAGAGCGGGAACGCAGGGAGGTGGAGGTCAGGGACGCGCTCGTCCGGGCAGAGGGGGAGGTGGGCGAGGAGCATCCGAGAGTTGCCACGCTCCTGTTTCTCCTGTCACGTATAGTGCAGGAGAGGGGAGACTACACCGAGGCCGAGGTGTGTCTCTCAAAAGGGAAGCGCTGGCGTATGTATAGTAGCACACAGTCCTCCTCCCACTCCAGACAAGAGATGAAGTTCTCTCGGCCTTGCAACGGCGTAGTTTCTTCGCTTCGTCGAGTGGAGATCACAAGTACATCTCCACAACGTCTCCCTGTCGAGGGCAATTCTCTCCCTTTCCAGCTAGTGATCTAATTGTCTTCCGTCCCCGGCCACCACTCAACACGCGCCGCTTACGTTTTCTCTCTATCACTCCCCCCAACCCCCTCGCGTTTCCTCCGTTTCCAGGAACTCTGTACCAGGGCGCTGAACATTTACGAGGCGGCGTTGGGCCCAGAACACCCGGATGTCGGTGTGGCTTTGAACTGCCTCGCAATGTCGTGGCAGGCTCAGGTAGGCACACGGGAGAGCGTGTTGTTTAGGTGAAGGCGGGCCGGATGGATTCAGGCATACCTGTGTTGCTTGCCCCGGTCCTTCAGAGCGTCCACCGCGCACGTTGCTGGACGCAACGCGGTGCCTACTGTACGGTTCTACCCAGAGAGCCAAGCCTTGGTGTTGGTGCTTGCTCAAGGAGGGGGGTTAAGGGGCAAGGCGAACAACTTCCGCCTACAGCAGTGAAATACGTCCGACATGCGAGGACACACCCTGACGAAATGTTTTCGTTGTCCTTGATGTTGTTGATAGAACGGCTGCAAAATATTCTTTTCGCTTATGGGCAGGCGTGGGCCTTTCGTGAGAAGTGGCACATTGCGTGCCCCGGTTATTCCGTAGGCCATTCCCAGTGCTTCAGATGAGCTTTAGCTAGATATTCCCGGTATTACCCGAGTTGGTACCTCAGGCAGGGGAGGGGGGGTACCCTGAAAGCTTCCTTGCTGCCGTCACCGCTGGTCGTGTCTCCTCCACAGTCTAAGAGCAAGTCCTGTGGCACCGCTGCTCTTCTTGTTCGACTGTCCTACGATGGTTGAGGGAGGTCGGCCGACCTATCGCATTATCACACTACTGGCATGTGCTGGTACAAGCAACGAATGGAAACACGACACGTAACACGTACGCATGCAAGCAGAACCCCTTTTTTTCGTTTTCGAACCCTAAGATAACCTCTCCGACAAACACTCCTGTGCCCAGGGGAAGCTTATGGAGGCCGAGCCGCTGCACAAGAGGGCGCTCGATATCGCGCGAAGCACCACCGGCCCCGGCCACCCCACGGCCGCCTACTCGCTTCACGGACTAGCAGTCTTGGCACAAGCCCGAGGTATACCTAAGTTTTCACCTAGCCAGGAGGAGCCCAGCGTGTCACGCGTTATCTGCGAGAGCTGGTCGTGGCTTTGAGGGGCTATTGCGCCGGTTGGACCGCTACGGATGTTAAAGAGGGGAGCTGGCACCGCCATCGTACATTTTGTGTTGTTGCTGACTGTTGGTCGTGTGTCATGCATGACGCTTTGTCTCTCGCAGGGAGGTTCGATGAGGCGGAAACGCTGTTCCGAGAAGCCCTGGGGATCAACGAGCGGGCCCACGGTAATCGCCACCCGGAGGTGGCCTCCTGCCTCAACAGCCTCGCTGCCCTTTTGCAGGTGCACTAGAATCTACCGTGGATTCATATTTGTGTTGTAGTAGTAGGTGTCCCGATGTAGTACCGGTGTGTGCCCAGAGACTTGAGCGGCACTATGCCGGGCACCGGCACCGCGTGCTGAACAGGCAAGGTGTGGTTGGTGAGACTGCTTTCTCGTTGGGGCTGTTGGTGCTGATTGTATCGCTGCGGGTGTTGTTCGTCACTGAATGAACTTGGTCGTGTTGCGCTCGAGCCCCTGGCGTGCCCTTACGGCTCCCGGCGTGCCGATGTCTCGGACTACCTTTGGTCAAGCCGTGTGATGGTGGGTAGCTAGCTCGCTTTGCCTAGTCACGTTCGACTCGCGCTCCCCTTGAGCAACGACGACGGTGACCGCCCTACACGCGCGCACGCACACACAGGCTCGAGGAAGCTACGACGAAGCAGAAATCCTCTTCACGAGAGCGCTGGAAGTGGACGAGGTGAGAGCTTCTCTGCAGTGTTTGCCGAATGGAACCGGCAAAATGTGCTTGTATCGGGTGAAAAGAAACCAAGAGATTTTGCTGGGCAGCAACGGTCCGGCTCCACTTTTTTTTTTTTTGCCGTTCTACGCTCACACGGGCCACGTTCTTATGATCTACGCTAAGGCATCCTTCGTAGCGTAGGCGTGTGTCAACAGTGTTGGTCGGAGGCCTGGGTTTGTAGGGTACCGCTTTCTACCGTACGCGGTTTATGAATCCCACCCCGTGCGCATGGTCCGACTTTCGTGCTGTGTTAAAAGGTGGGCTGCTCGACGCCTTGCCGCTAGTTTCTGACGCGCTTGCACACAACGAGGGCTTCACATTATCACCTTTGCTAGACAAGATAACAAAATATAAGAAAAGGTGGCGAAAAACGAGTAAATAATTAGAACAGCAGTGGCGAAACGTCGCGTCGCGCACTGACGCGTTGTTCACGGTGTTGTGCTGATCGCGCGGTGCCGGCCTGTGCCATAGGCGTGTTTTGGGTTGGAGCACCCCCGGGTAGCGGCGGGTTTGCACAACCTGGCGGCGTTGTTGCAGGCACAAGGGAAGCACGAGGAGGCTGACAGGCTACAGAGGTGAGATTTTTTGTTTGTTCGGCGTGTCGTTCGAGGGCGAAGACGCTTCCGTGGAGACTATCGACCATTGTTTGGAACAGCCGAATCGCAGTAGCCACAAGACAGTGAACGAATTCTTTGCCTCTTTTTTTATTTTCCCAGTTGATCCTCTCTGCACCCTGCTAAGTAGTTGCTTCGGCATTGTCCACGAATCAAAGGAGATGTACTACTATTGCTCACTGTTTTAAAACCTCATTGTGTAACCTCACATGCTTTTTGTTTTTCGCCGCTCCTACTACTACTTTTCGTCGCTTGGCAAAGACGTTGTAAAACAAGCCAATTCACTTCGTGAACTCGGCAACCAGGTTACCGTTTTTTTTTTT